AGCATTTGAGCTTCAGTTTCATTATCTGGCCTTCCAGGGAACAGTCAGGGTCGATTTCTTTTAGGATTGACTGATTTGATCTCCTTGCAGTCCAAGGGACTCTCAAGAATCTTCTCCAGAACCATGTGTTGATAGGAGGAACTAATTTTAAAAAATCTCTCCATCCCTCTGCAAAGCTCCAAATGCCTTATGGGGCGTCAGTCTACCCTGCCATGTCATTTTTGCCAGTGTAAATGGCCTCATGTTTGCCCCTTTCTCAAGCTCCATGTGTCCATCCCAGGGTGCAGAAGAAGAAGAGATTGGATTTATACCCCGCCCTTCACTACCCGCTTCACTACCCAAAGAAGTCTCAGAGTGGCTTACAAACTCCTTTCCCTTCCCCTCCCCACAGCAGACATCCTGGGAGGCAGGTGGGGCTGAGAGAGCCAGTTTGGTGTAGTGGTTAAGTGCGCGGACTCTAATCTGGGAGAACAGGGTTTGATTCCCCCACTCCTCCACTTGCACCTGCTGATGTGACCTTGGGTCAGTCACAAGCTCTGGCACAGCTGTCCTTGAAAAAGAGCCATTTCTGTCAGAGCTCTCTCAGCCCCAGCCACCTCACAGGGGGTGTCTGTTGTGGGGAGGGGAAAGGAAAGGAGTCTGTCAGTCGCTCTGAAACTCCCTTGGGGAGTGAAGGGCGGGGCATAAACCCAATCTCTTCTTCTTCTTCTTCTTCTTCTTCAAACTCAATTCTCCCAGATTAGAGTCCACTCTCCTAACTACCACACCAAACTGGCAGGAGGGAAACCTGAACCCCCACCTTTCCTGTCACAGTGTTTGGAGTTGCGTGGGCTAATGGACAGGTTAGTCGCCTGACTTGATCTGTCTCACACATAACATGTATTTCAGCCCTAAACCTCAGGCAGACTAAGATCCAAACCACATGAGATTCCAAACCATGATTCAAACTCCAATATTTTTTTTTTAAAAAAATCCAATGACGATCCAAACCACATGAGATTCCAAACCATGATTCGAACTCCAGCATTTAGGAAAAAAAATCCAATGATCAGGCACGTTGGGGTCCAATTCTGAGCAAGACTATGGCCAGAGAAGAGTGGGACCTGGCTGAGCCCTGTGACTTTCACCATTTTTAAGGGGAATCTATGTTGTATGAAGGGGCTGTGGTAGCTCAAGTGGTTAAGACGCTGAGCTGCAGGCCAGAAGGTCGGTAGTTCGGCAGTTCGAGACCCAAGTGCCGCGTGACGGAGTGAGCTCCCGTCTCTGGTCCCAACTCCTGCCAACCTAGCAGTTCGAAAGCAAGAAATTGCAAGGAGATATATAGGTACCGCTTCGGTGGGAAAGTGACGGCATTCCGTGCGCCTCAGCAACTAGTCATGCCTGCTACATGACCACGGAAACGTCTTCGGACAGCGCTGGCTCTTCGGCTTGGAAACGGAGATGAGCACCACACCCCTAGAGTCGGATTCAACTGGCTTTCGAGCAAGGAAAACCTTTACCGTTACCTATGTTGTATGAAATGGCAGCCTTTTTAGAATGTCCCAAGTCCGTATCTCGAACCGAACCCAAATGCAATACTCTGCAATTCTTGAATTCTCAGTGGCATTTTTGCTCAACAATTGGAGATTGAAACGCAGGTAAAGAGAACGCAGTTTCAGTTCCTTGCAGAGTCAAGTAACTCAGGTCACTGTCTTGTAGAGGTAAAGTTTCAGATTAGGGTGTGTGTGTGCACCATTCAGGGACCCTGTTTCCCAGACGCTTTCCTCAGGGACAGCTCTCCCCGTGCCTGCACCTATATTCCTCCGCCGCTTTCCCTCATTTCTGCAAATGTTTTTGCAGTCCCGAGAGCAAAAACGCAGTTTGCCCCGTCTTGTGGCGCAGCATGGGAATTCCCAGAAACAGCAATCTGATGCTGAGGAGTTGCCAATTCCCCCCTTTCCTGACTGCTGGACCCCAGTCCAGTATGTCAGGAACATAAGTCTATTGATCCTAGATGAAGGCTATCACGTCAATGGGTGGCATGGTAGCAGAAACATGCCAAGCAGGTGGAGGGAGATACAGTAGTTCCAATGTGGGCAATCCATAGGCAGACTGGTTTGGTGTGGTCATGAACAAAGTCCAAAGTCCATGACAAGTCGAGTAGTTGATGCAGGCGAGCAGGAACGGCGTTGATGCAGGATTGTTGCCATCAAGCAGGACGGGGTCCTGGCTCCCACATGGCCCTGCTATCTAAGCTACTCGGTGGAGGATGGATTTTCATTAGAAAAAATGTCCTATCCCTATCCAAAAGAGCCAAATTAAAAAAAAATGGGGGAAGTGGCCGCAGACAAGTATGAGCTTCATTTTGCACATTGTACAGTGTGCATCTTTGGCAACCATGATGTCGGGCCTACTTCAAGGAAACAAGAAAACAAGAGAGTTAATGCATAACTCAAACATTAGGAAGGCTTTTGGAGGCAGTCTCCATTATGCCTACCTGAAATGATAACAGTGTATTTACAAACAAGGAAACAAAACAACCGTCAATGTATCCCTGAGTGAAGGAAATCATCTGACTCCCTTGTAACAACTAGCAGCATATAAACACAATAACAGTTCAGTTTGCACACAGAGTGCACTTCCGTCTGCGGAAGGCAGGGGGCCGCTGGTCCAATACCATACATGGCATGGGGTGGGTCTTATCGATGGAGAAGGGCACGGCTTGTGCATAATCAATAACTTCTCCCCCCTTAGCCTCCAAGGCATCATGGGACATAACAATCCAGCATTAGACAGATTTATCCAAAACAACACAGTGATCTAAATAACAATTCAGTCACACAGCATTCATTCTTATGACGTTTCCTCTCCAGGAAAAATACCAACAGACATACCAACATGCACGCTCTAACCTTAGCAGCATTGGGTAAACATTGCACTCTAGTTTCAGGTTCCATCACAACTCATCCCTTCGGGGAAAGACTGGCCAGACCTAATCCAAGGTTCGCAGCCCCTGAACTCCTGCGCTGTGCGGTGGAGCCATGGGGTGGACTTTTGGCTTTTAATTTTGGAAAAACCAGTCCGAGGATGCGTCCTCTTTTAGCAAAGGGGCTTAGGCACCCTTGGCGTGATCCTGTGTTGATGGAATAACGCTTTTTAACTAGAGGGTCCCCTCGGGGGCCTTCGCTTGGTTGGTTTAAAAACAGAAAAGAAACTTCAAAAGTCAGACTCCCCTTCTGGCAGCCTGCACAATGGTGCAGTCCGGGGCTTTGGTCGTGCGCAGAAGTGGGGGGGGTGTTTGCTTGCGGCGCGGCTCATTCCGACTGGCCGAAGGTGTCTTGCGGCCAGGCAGCATTGCGCATGCAAATTACTCAGCGCGCTGCCTGCTGGGGGTTGGGGAATCGGACCGACAAACAACACAACAGAGACACGACAACTACATTAAACACTCAAATTTAGAAAAAGAAGATATTGTGCGCATTGGGCTGTCAGCTGACGATCAAGCTGACAAACGAACTCGCTCGCTGTTACCAGCATATCAAGTGGCAGAGTCAAGGAGACAGTGGAGAACTGGCTGCCGGCAACTGTGGGCCTAGGTCCATTGGGAAATCAAGCCATGCGAGGCTCCTCCCTCACCAAGGGGAAGGGGATTGCACTCCTCGATTCAGGCTGATTTTTCCGAAACTAGAAGCCAGATGGACACACTGGGCGCTTTTGTTGAAATAATATCCATTATAATCCCAGTATGTTCCAGTTTTCCAGAGCCTAGTGGAAGGTCGCTTATTAAATCCACTGTTCTTTTCCTGGCAGTTTCTATTGTATCTCCAAACTGCGCTCCACAATGCTCACGCTCGAGTTCGGACTGCCCTCGGGGCGGTCCCACAATGTGTACAAAAATAGAAATCAGAAAAAAGCCTAAATTTGGCCAAAGGAAGCGTCCTTTGGATGGGAGTAGTCTTATGTTTGCAGACCGCTCGACCAAAACAGAAGAGAATGGCAGAGGAACAGTGCAGAGGATCCTCTGTCCAAAGAGAACAAAAGCTTTGTTCAAAAAGTCAGAAATAAAAAAAAATCCAAAAATAATTTGCAGTAGTGGTTCCCTTGTGGTAGGGAAACGGGTCGTCTCTTTGTTTGGCAGCACGGATGCTGTTGAGGCGCAGCCTGCTTACAGGCCGGCTCTTTAAATCCAAGCCGCAGATCCAAGCAGAGGTGGGGGGGGTTCCCACGGCAGCTCCTGTGAAGCAAAAGTTAGAGACAACACAAAGAGAAAGGGGGATGGGGCTCAATTTGGCGGTTCTCCTTCGTACTGCCAGTATGCAGAGCCCGACCAAACGGAAAGTAAAGACATCTCGTCACTGCAAAGTGGACTTAGTGGAGATGGACTGCGAAATTGGTGGCCATTTTAAATTTTTAAAGGCTCAACTCAAGTGGGTTTGCACCACTGTGCTTGAGGGGCAGGTTCTGATCTTATTCGAGTTTGGTTTGCACGTTGTGGTGGCTTTTGTGCTCCGGCTCCCGGGCGGGATATGGCACGTAGGTCTGTGTCGACGTCACACTGGCTCGCTCCTGTTAACAGCGGCCTCTAGTGGCGGACCGTAGCATTCCACCAGTTCTGATGCGTTTTGCCAGGCACACTTTCAACAATGGCACAACTTAAAAGAATATTCCTGCACATTACACATTCAATTGCATCAACGGTCAACGTTTCCCTTAATTCCCATAGGCATGACGGACCTTATGCAGATTAGCAACAACTGTAGCGTTTCTGAGACAAAACAGACCTTTTTCTCTCCTCCTGGAGAGTGCTTTTAAAGACAGCTAAGGAAGGCGTTTGTTTGGTCCACGATGATGTGGCACAGAAACTGAACAGCGTGAGCAGAAAGTTGCCGTGGCCGTAAAGGTAGTCGGCCAGGACTTGGAGCAGAGGATTTACTGTGGAGAGGGGTGGGTAGAGGCTTGCGCTTCCCCAACGCCTTTTCTCAGAGACTAACTCTCTTCTTTTCTTTCTCGCTCTCCTTCAGCGAGCCTCCCCTTCACTCCCTCTCCTCGTCCTCTCCTCGAGGTGGGTAATTTTTGAAGGGTTCACCGAGTGTGATACCCGGGTTCCTTGTGACAAGGAGATGGCGGGGTGCAACCGAGGCAGCTGAGCATCAGGGATGGCGGCATTTTGGACTACAGAAGCCAGTTGAGCCTTAGAGCTCGTGCTGGTGTGCCGCATTTCCTTTTGCTAGCGGAATCAGCTACAGAGGGTTTGGAAAGGAGTAGAGCGAGACAGGGCGAGTCTTCTGCCGGACATAGTCAGCGTGCTGGCTATGCTTCCGGGTCTCCCTCCGAGGAGGAGTGCTCAGACTCGTAGCCACAGTCAAACTCACCTGCCGTTTCCATAACTAGGGCAACATAGTCAACTTTAACATTCAGTGCACTGACAGGTGTCAGCTGCTGGGGCTGGCGTTCACCATTCTCACTCCCCCCCTTTGACACTTTCCTGATCCGCGATCAGGGGAGGTGTCACATCAGGGAGAGACATGAAGGTTCCAGCCAAGCCTTGGAATGGAGGGCTCTCGACTGAGGCGGGGGCTGCCGTGCGCATGGGAGGCGGCGGCGGCGGCTGTGGGGGCTTGTCGAGAACCACTGCGTGCATGGAAGGCCTGTACACGGGATGCGGTGGCGGCTGGCGTTGGGGCCTGTCTGTCCCTTTCCACTCCTTCAACTGCGACACGTGGAAAAAATTGTGCCAGACCTTTCCTTTGTGGCAGCTGGGGATCGCCAATTTGTACACCGCTGGGCTAATGCGTTCGATAATCTCGCAAGGCCCCGACCATTTTCCCATGAGGACATGATGCTTTTTAGAAAACCTGCGGTGGAGTACTTTTTGGCCGGGATTCCAAGTCCGGGGGTTTCTCACCCAACCCAGCTTCTTGTCCATAGCTAGAGTACTTTTACCAATGGCCTGTGCTACCTGCGAGTGGACAGTCTGGAGCTC